TGCCCCCTGCCTGCTCCCTGCTCCCTGCTTGCTCCCTTGCTCCCTGCCCGCTGCCTGCTCCCTGCTCGCTCCCTGCTCCCTGCCCGCTGCCTGCTCCCTGCTCCCTCCCTGCTCCCTGCCTGCCCGCTGCTTGCTCCCTGCCTGCTCCCTGCTCCCTGCCCGCTGCCCCCAGCACCCATCGCATTCCGGCGGGCCGCACTACAGCTCTGCGCTGGGACTTGAACGGGCGCTGGCCACCCATGAGAACAAAAATCGCCTTCTTTTATCTCAGTCTAGACATCTATCAGAAATAGGGCGCTCTTTGTTGTCTTGTCTTTTATGAAGGCGCTTGTACAAGTGGGAAATTAACATAAAGCATGAATACATTTTTATGAAATGGAAAAATACCCTGGGAAGAAGGGAGGCTGAAAAGGCTTGGGGAAGCGGAGGGGATAATTAGCAATCAGCCACTCCCAGCGTGCTGCTGTGGCCGGAGGAGCTAATGCAGTCCTCAGCTGTGATACCCAGGCAGGGACCAGAAACACAACCCGGACCTCCTCAACCTCAACCTCAACCTCAACCTCAACCTCAACCTCAACCTCAACCTCAACCTCAACCTCAACCTCAACCTCAACCTCAACCTCAACCTCTGCTCCCCTGGGGAAGCCTCTGCCCAGGTCTAGCGCTCACACCTCCAGGATGCTGAGCAACTGGAGAGGGCTCATGGGAAAGCCATGAGAAAGAGCAACACACGCTCTGTATTGAAAGAATAAAAGTGCTTCATCTGTTCATCAAAGAAAAGTGACTTCATCATAACCATAAAAAACTTCCTAGTAAAAAGAAATTTTATACCAGAGTGCTTTTTAGTTTAGCCAGCACAGGTGTAACAAGCTCCGAGGGCTGGAAGCGGTGCTGAACAGGTCAGTCCAGGAATAAGATGTATTTTTAATCACGAGGGTAGAGATGCACCGGTAGCCTGGCCTCATGAAGACAACAGAAGGCCAGACCAGGAACGGCTCTTTTCATGCCTGCCCCTTTTCAGCATTATATCCAACAGGTTTGCAGTAGAGATTTTGCAAACGGCAGCTGCTCCAGGCGCTGCTCGCATTCCGTTCTGCAGGCAGAGCCCAACGTGCATCCACCCCAGTGTTCCCACACAAAACAAGGACAAGGATGCAGGTCTGCTGGTGAACGCTACCTATTCTAATGTGTTTGTGAAAAAAAATCAGAATTGACCAGTATCAACCGTACTGGGCAGGGTGCAGTTATTCTGGGCTTTAAGTATAGACACATGTTTAGAGAAGATAATAACTGTGCAAGTGTCTTATACAAACGTGCCTGGTGAAGAACCTGAGGCTTGGCTTTGGCAGGAAAATATTTCCGCATCGCCTCCCAGACACCCCTACCAGCACACTCAAATCCTGATTGAACACCAACGCTCCTCGCTCAGTTCCCACAAGTGCCTCAGTTTTGCCTTAAAATACGCCACTACTCCAACACGAAGCTTCCCATGAGCAGACTCAGCGTTGCTGAGTTATGTCACTGCTGGATGATCCCAGCCCCCTTTATGCTCCTTACTTATCAGGACACTTTAATAGGAAATCTTCCCAAGAGAGATTTTGTTAATCCCAGGCAGTTCTGCACATTAATTTCTCCGTGGGTTAATAACTTCAGAACTTGCACCAAAATAGTAAGCTCTGTACCAGTAATTTTACAATAAAAGGTGGAAGTAGCATTCGTAATTTAGCAATATTCGTACCAGAGTTCAATACTAGCAGCAGAAACACTAGCAATAACGCCGCTTCTCGCACTCTGCTTTCAGCGTTTCACCTCCACCCGTTTGTGTAATGTATTTTCAGAGGGAGGTTTACTGAGCCCGGTATAATTCCTTGTCTCCAGCGTCCCCGCTACTCTTGCCCCTGTTGTTTGGGGTTAGGGTTTGCTGCGTTTTAAGCGCAACATCAGCCAGCTCTGTTCTGAGCACACTAAGGCAATGCTCTGTTTGAGACAATGGCAGCAGCTGCCAGCACAGAAGATTTTTGGCACCAAGAGAGCTGAACCCGTGTTAGAAGCAATGGGGAAGGTCTGTGTTTTCACAGCGTATTGGTGTACTGAAGAGCCACTGCAGGGTGCATGTCGGAGCAGCGCTGGACGGCTCTTCTGGGCTGGCAGCTGAGCAAGCAGCTCAAGGACCACCTTGGCTCCGTCCTCTTGCCCCATATTCTCTGTCCTTCCTACGTGCAGCGTGGCAACCGATGACAAAAGGACTAAAACTGCACCGAAGACACTACTGAAAGTAGGGCACAGTATCTTTCATATCGACCTGTTAACTGTAACTTATCTACGACTTCGCTTAGAAGCTAATTATTTTACACATTTAAATTAGGGTTAGGAATTGAACTAAAACCAAATGCTGGTAGCCTTGTGAGGATTTTCTGAAATGGGGTTTTGTATTCCATCTGCACTTCCTTCCACTAAGGGAAGAGAGTAAGTGTCCCCAAAGATAAGAATGGAAATTTTGATCGTTTCCCACGTTATTAGTTACATACCACTATGCAGTCTGCATCATTAATTTCCATATAGCCCTCTGCATTTAGGGAGTAGGAATATAGGTAAAGGAACCCTGCAAGGAAGGAAGGAGACTCCCTTTCAAACTGTGAGACAAGATACACACCTCAGATCTTGGTTCTGCATTGCACTGACACAATCACTGAAATGCAGCCTGGCAGGTCTTGGTATAAGTTTGCCACAGCTATCCAGTCTTCTGATTTTCAGACGTCCATTTTGTGTACTTCTCTTGTCCACACTTCGTGGCTGTGGCTTCGCCTTGCTAGAAAGGCTGACGTTGTTCCCACCTTTACATCCTTCCATGGAAAAGGCAAACCTTGCTGTGTTGATAAGTAGCAGTGACAGACAGACACAGTAATCTGTGAATTTGCTTCTTCCAAGGTCAGCAACTGGTCTCACCTTCCTTCTATGGTATTTGCACACCATACACAAGAACACGTTGTTACAAAGCACAACAGAATAATAATTTGATCCAGGGAGAAAGAAGGCATTTAAAAAAAAAAAAAAAAGAGACTGTGACTTTGCTCCAATGTAAAGAAGCTTAACCTATCTATGTTTTAAGGGAGAAAAAACGCTGCATAGCCTCTTATCTGGGCTCTCTTCCTATCCCGGTATCTATGTCGTACACATCATCTTCATTTCCAAGCATTCCTGTTTAACTTGAAAGCAGGTGTCTTGGTACAGCTGGTGCAGCCTTCCACATAGGAGAATCCATTTCCAAGCAGGTTTCTCCTTCCATAGCTATGTGAAAACTGGGAAAAAAATGTGCTGTGTCTAGAAGAGAATCAGCCTTGTACTTCATGCATGTCAGGCAAGAGACAGAGTGAGGCAGCACAGCCTTTTGTTCAGGGATTTCTGTGATCAAGAACCCGTGTTATTTTCCAAACAAGAAAACGTAAGAGAACGTTCATTTGAAAATGAAGAAGTGTCTCAGAAAAAATGCTCAACTTTCAATGGCCTTTAACAAAAGGAGCTACAATGTCTGAATTTTGACCACACCTCAGAAATAAATTCAGAGCAACGATGCAGTATGTAAGTTGATTCATGACATTTTTGGACAGAGGAAGATGTATCATAAAGGTCACTAAAAACACATTATAAAAATACATGCATGGAAAGTGTTTTGAAAGCTTAAATAAAAGGAAAGGAGAGGCAAATAGAGGAAGGTAAAATATAGGAAGATGACACAGGAATTTCTAGCAAAGTGCCAGGTCTGACACCAATACTCACTATGGTCAGTGACAAGTAATTTAACCTCACATATAAAATGGGGATAGTAGCAACCTCTTGAGGCACTGGGAGACTTAATTAGTTGCTATTCGTAGATTAAACAGAAAGTCTGAAGGTGAAAGCACTAAATGCTAAGTATTATTAGCTTCTGAAGTATTAATTTCTGTAATTGAGCAACCCCAACATTACAAAAAAGTGGATCAGTGTCAATTTTTGAAAGAAATTTATTCTTAAGGTTCTATCATGTCAAAAAGGTACCCAAACAAGGAATTTTGCTTTTAAAAGTGGTAACTGGTAACACATCTATGTAATACACAATGCAGCTTGTCATCTTCAGGTTTCAGTTCAGTTCCTGACTCCTACCCAAATTTCCATCCCACATTCCTGAACAGGAAACATCATGTCATCTTAACCAAACAGTTCCGTGAGCTGCAAGCTCCCGGAGCTCCCTGTGAAACTTGCACTGCAGTGCATTCCCGCTGTACTCCTCAGGAAAAGCTCACAAGCATTGATTCATTAACACAAGACACGGTCGTTTGTGTGGCTGAACTCTTCCTTACGCCGCCTGATCCCTCTGTAGCCAGTGCTGGCCTTCCCAAACCAGCTGCACCAGTGGTTTTTGAGCTGGTTTCTCTGCTCTTCCAAGGCAGAGATAAATGACCCTTGCAGAAGTTCCAAACCAACAAGAAAAAGAAAAGAAGAGCAAAGCCAGCTCCCAAGAGTTTTAAAACCAGCTTCTCCCTTTGGCTGTCCACAGATAGCTGTTTTGCTGCCTCGTTCAGTAAAGGTGGTACTGAAGACTGAAAACCCTCAGCTCCTGCTTCATTACGCTGCTTTGCTGCAGCAATGACATTTGCTTCCTCTGTCTTTTCTTGGGCATAAAGGGCATAGCGGGCCACAGTGATAAGGAATTCCTTCCCTTTGGATTTCTCTACCGAGAGACAATCATAGAATCCAGCCGCATCCACTGTCACATTAAATATTGCTATTCCTCCATCATAGAGGAGATATTTAGAGTCCTCGGCCTGGAGTCTGCTCCCATTAAACTTCCACACTACGCTTGCCAGATTCGACAGAGGAACACATTTAAGATGAACATTGTTTCCAAGGGTAAAGAGACATTTTCTCACACTGTTTTCTGAAATTATGAAGATTTTTTTTTAAGTAAGAACACTGGGGATTCAGTTTCACTTACACAACCAAATGCAGATTCAAATAAATATAAAATTTAATGCACCAGTCTGACAATGGGTAATGAGCAGATAAGGGGTAAAGACAGATAAATCCCATTGCTAACGGGTCTGACTATCAGTGACGTCTTGCTGGCCTTATTCCCACGGATGTGTAACAGAATAAATATGGGACTAGAAGTTTAAGACTTCCAGATTTTAATCTGATTTTGCCTCACCCGTATACATAGCCACGCATAAATAAATTCACCTCTGTATGCCTCAACTTCTCTATCGGTTAATGACATCTCTTCACAGAAATGCTTTGATGTTTAGGTTTGCCAGCACAATGCTTATATCAGCTATGTAAAAGTTCCCCACGTGTCCCACTGATTGCCTTATTGTCATTTGTCACGCAGTCTAAAATACACAAGACTAACGGCAACTCTGACTTTAAAGAGACGTAAGTGGAGGTAAGAGATACATCTTGTGTCACGAAGAAAGCAAATCTTGCAACTCATTACGAAGTCACTGCATAATACTACCAGATCACACACACCTGCAATTCTACATTAAAAGTAATTGATTTTCCAATCCCACTAAAAATAATAAAAAGTAATTCTAAATGGTTGATAACAAATAGCCTTCTTTCTAAGTGTACTCTTGAATAGTACGTCATGTATCTGCACAGCAGCATCCTAAAGCAGTGACAGATTTTAACAGGACCTCTGATGCGTTGTGTGATTTCTGCAAAGTGGGTGTGGGAGGGACACCAATACTTCAAACGGGTCACGTTTATGCTTCCCTTGAGAGTTAAGAGTTTCAGTCTGAGCTGAAGCATTCTGACATTTAGACTGAGAGGGTTAACAGCATTATGCAGTATTGGCTCAGTGTGGGTTTTTTTGGTCTTAGTTCAAAAATAATAATCAACATGTTTTTAATTCTGCGGTTTTCTGTAATGCAAGAATTCCAGTGAGCACAAAGCATTTTGATCACATGAAGTTAAAATATTCTTTCTTAAAACAAACATTCACATACCTACACTAAGGCAGCTGGAAGCATCCCCATATTTCACACTTTGAATTAAATTCCTGAAAAAAAAAAAAGAAAACACCCCCCCCCCAAAAAACAAACAGATGAAAATACAGACAAGAAATGTTCCAGCTTGTATCATTCCATTTCTAGGAATCATCCCAGTTTTGTGTTACAGACATTAAGAGCGCACTGATAAAGCCATCTCACAGCAGGTGTGCAGCTGAAACAACAGCTTTACTTACTTCGTACGACCAGTTTGATTTGCCAGTAGAACACATTCATTAGCAGACTGAGACCATGCGCAGTAAGGATCCCTCGCCAGGATGCAATCCAAGCAGTACTTGTATCGGTGGCACGCAGAAACTGGGAGCTGCACCACTTGAGATGGGGACCCTACATAGAGCATTCCCTACAAATGCAGGAAGGAGTTCTTTTATAACAGTGAGTGAGATTTTAAGCTGTTATTTTCTAATATGCATTGTAAGATTTTCTGGTATTTGTTAAAAATATCAGTAAACTAAAAATCTTTTAAGAATAGATGGTACTATGAATGAGAAAAAAAACCCCTAGCTTTCCATAGCATGTAAAGTGACGGAGTGCCTTCCCTAATTTTTTAATGAACGTAAAGGCTTGTTTCAGTTATGTTTTGACACACACAGATTCTTCTTCTACAGAAAAAAGATGTTTCATGCTTCTGTTATTAACAAATACATGACAGAAGCAGAATTATGAGACATTTACAGGCTATTTAAAAGTCAGAAGAACAACACGGAAGAGCAAGGCCTGAGGCAAGCTATTACAGCAGTCACTTTCCATGTGTAGGGACAGAGGTTCTACCTTGTCAGAAGACAGCTGGAGAGATTGTACAGGCTCAGGAGACGGAAACAGCTGTAGCTCTTCCACAATGAACATTTCCCCATCACAACTGAAAGCTTTATGCAAATATCCATCATCTACATAAAATGAAATGTATTTCTAAAACTTGTTTAAACATAGCATAACATTTTAGCCTGATAATTCATGTTGAAATTAGATAGAGATTTAGAAGACATTCCTGGGCACAGGGAATTTTTGAAATTCTTCAAAGCAAATCTTGTTCTTTCAATAACAGAGAAGCAATGATTTTTTTCAGGGGGAAAAAAAGACCTCAAACAATCCCGGAATTTGCAAATATTATTATGTCAAGTCTCCTTTGATATGGAAAGTTTCTAAAGAGAGCCTTTTAATGTCCAACAAGCCAAACACATTTAATCTAACTGGGATGAAAATATTAAACTAGCAAGACAGCTTCTGAATGCAGAACTTCAAACAGAGCTGATGAATAGTTTCACTTTTTTGAAGTCTCAGGAAAAGATTCTGGAATAAAATACATAAAAATGTACAGTATCTTTTCCTAAAATAAAAGCACTTACCTGTTCCTAGAAACATAACATCGTATGTTTGTTTATCTAGGCCAGTGACTCTGTCTACTACGATCCTGGTATAGTTTGAACCTCTCTTCAGCAGCACCGGTCGATTACCAATTGGATTTACAGAATTATCCATTAGAGGGTGATCTCTAACAAACTGCAAAACTTTGTCAGGCAAGTCAGAAGAAGTATTATACCCAATACTCCGGGCAAAATTATCAATGCACTAGAAACAAAACATAACAAACATGATTACCATTGCTTTTACACTTCACCAAGGTATATAAAAAAGGTGTATTTCCTTCTAAACATTCAGTTATTTCTTTTTACGTTCAAAAGATAAAAATCATTATTTTGCTCACACTTTATGAACTAGTTAATAGCCCCACATCTCCTGTGGAGCGGAACTGTAAGCAACGCAGCTTTTCTAGGAGCCTTCGTACGATGGAATGAGAAAGCAGGTATCTCTTTGCTGATCATAAACACTGCATTTATATTGGTAAAACACGTGCTAATGATTTGCTACCAAAAGAGATAATCCAGAGGCTGTTCTTTAATTAGAAGAAGTAAATTCATATTTACAGCACCAGGACGTGGAACTGGCACTTCTCCCCTGTATACCATCCACTTCACAGGGGAATGGTCTACAGTTACTGGTCCTTTGTAGCTTCCTTTGGAGAAGACTTCCTGAATCTTTTTCATACTGTATGCACAAACAGCTGATATGTCTAATCTTCCCCTTAGAAGAAAAACAGAAACAAAACAAAACAATACACAAAATAAAAGCAAGTTTTATTGGCTTTTATATAGAAAGAAATACTGCAAAATAACCCAATCTCCACAGTGCACACTGCTGTTATCTTTTTCAGGATTAGTCAAAAGAGACCTAACACTAAAAATACTTCTCTGTTGCAGTTTTCATGATTCACTAAGAAGAGAATAAAACAAAGACATTCATAAAAGATGGTATTAAGTATGTTTTTGTTAAAAATCAAGTAACCGCCCTCAAATAAATGGAAACAACTTAGAGAATGAGGGCCTTTTGACAACCTTTCTTGTAAACAGACGGATGAGCCCCCGTATCATGGTAATCAACGTTTTGACAGGATTCTCCTCCCTTTAGCTCCACACTTCTGACACAGACCATTAATTCTTCTTCTAATCCCTTTAACTCATGTTGCTGAAAGACACAGTACTTTTCCTCTTTGCCTCCAATTATAATGCTTTTCAAAATGACAACTGAAAATTTAGGTAGACTTTTAGGAGTGTCTGGATCAGATACCAAGGGGATTTCAGTTCTACCAGTGAATACCAAGTCTAAGTCTCTTTGCCACACCCAAAGGCACAAATGTTCTCCAAATTGCTGCCTTAGGACACATTGAACCCAACCTGCCATAACCAGAAATAAAACTCACATAAGCTCCAGTGGGTATGAACTGATGGGTAAATAGGTGGCAGCAGGTTAAACTGGACAGTGCTGACTGTGCTGCATTCTGGTATTTCTGAAGCTTTTATAAAACATGAGAATTACCTATTCACGGCTACTTTGTCATTGGTATTTTTTGACATGTAATGTTTCGATACATTTTGTCTTGTTTTTCTTCATTAGTCAGAGCATTAAGAAAAAGCTAGTTAACCCTAAAACTTGCAAGGTATTTGTCTGGAGTTCTGTTTCCATTTTCACAGAATAATTCTGCACCTTGAAATGTCAGCTATTTCCTTTAGTGCTATAAAGACCAGAAGAATCCAGAGCTTTGTGTATGTAATTATGTAATTTTATATGTAATTAGTTTTAATTGCCCCACCATCCCACTAGAGAAAAACATAACTCTAGAAACTTGGCTTAGGAGAAGCTTTTGGTTAGTCTTTAATTGAAGGCTTTGGCCCAGGAACCAAAACTATTTTGTTTCAGATGATAATGTTTGCTCAGTTGGATCAAGCTGTAAGAAAAACAAATGCGGTCCATTCAAACATGCAGCGTAAGTAGCTAGTAGCCTCTTGGTCTGCGTTAAAGCCAAAAGGCTGTACTCAGGCTATTAATACTGAAGTGAGAACCCTTACTCAGTTCGTTACAAACTTTAATAGCAGACGTAGCCCTCTATCTCACCATTGTTGGGAAAAAATTCCATAAAATACGCTGTCCTGCCACTTTCTTCTCCTAAGTAAAAAGATGTCCTGGACAATATTGAAATGGAAGTTTAATTCTGGAACGGAACAGGAAAGGCGGGATTTTAAAAATGATGTCCATCTTCTCTGCAATATGCGTTTTCCACCAAGATCACCCTAAATGAAGGAATAATATCAACACTGTAGAATGCATAAGAAACAGACGTAATTTTCACCTACCAGTGTTTCTGTGGGGAAGAATATAGTTGGCCTTTCAATACAAATCTCAGTTCAAAGGCAAAGAAAAAAGGTTTAAATATCAAATGCAACCTGAACAGCTGGTTCTGTTCTAGCAGGAAAAAAGAGGAAGCTAGCTCAGAAATAAAATGTATATGACAGGGTTTTGTTTGGTTAGCCAGTGTAGATACCACTGTTAATCACTCAACTATGAAACTTCATCTGAAATACACGAAGTCTTTATACTACAAATACTAACTCTGCAGATACGGGCAATTCTGGACACCAGAAGCTTGTCATAAAATTCAAATTCAACAGCTGTTTCAGTGAAGAACACATAAATTTTATCATCGTCTCCATTTGGATTAGATTCACTTTCATGCACTATTTCCATGTTGACAAAGCTTGGTTCTGAAACACATAAATACACAAAACATTTTAAGTTTATTACAAGAAAAATGCCAGATGTTATTTTAAAATGAAGTCTAATTGAATTTTTTTGTGGACTAGTGGACAAGGAAAGGGCTGAAAAGTATTTATGAATCTATCAAACATTAGGAGAAGGAACTGTGCTTTCACAAAGGGAAAGGGGCTGTGGCTTGTCTCATCACTGTAGTCTGTAGTCACAAATTCCTTTTACGTTCTGTCCTCAGTCTGAGAGCTCATGCTACAAAATCAATACATAACACACTACTACATTCTAGAGAGAATTCATACACCAAGTTAAAGTTCAAGAGCCTGAAATATATAAAAACCCTTCTTACCATTTAGCCATGATGTTTTAAACTCCGTTCTTACAGGATTTCTCATGCTGCGAAGTATTATAGGTTCTGTTCCCAGGAAATTATTTGAAGTAGCTGAATAAAATTCCCCATCTGTAAAGATTTGGAAAAAACCAAAAAAGTATAAAGTATGTATTTTTAAAATGCAAAGACATATCATAAGAAACAAATTGGGGTTGACATGCAAAAATAGAATCAGGATAACAGCATCCAGTAACTCAGTTCAGGTGAGGAGATCCATCTCAGGTTGCATGTCAGTCCAAACATACCTACAAAAACAGACGCATACTTTAGAGTGGGTTCGAATGGACACTTCCCTCTGCTCTCTTCAGCTCTTCCTTGCAAGCTTATGTTCGTCCCATCGATAACCTATGGCAAACAATAATTTAAAAAAATAACATTTGGTAAGTACTTTTCTGGTCTTTCATACTTTTATAGAAGAATTAGGAAAGTTGCTAATTTTCAACAGGAATATTTTGAGAAAGGTGGTCAAAGATTTCCCATACTACTCAAATATCTGCAGTAAAACCTGTATTCAAACATAATTACCATGTGATCACAAGTTGGGTGATATGCGTTGGTTCCACAAACATATAGGTTGGAGTCATTTATCTTATGGAGGAAGAGGATGTAGTTCTGGCATCTTATCTAAAATAGAAAATAAAATTTATATAGTGTAGTGGATTGCATCTGAAAATATCCTGGTGTCTTAGCAGCAAGCAAACCCAACAGATTTAAATGAACTTGCTTTTACTTCGTTTATTAAAAATAAGCTTGATAATGTAGGCATTTTCATTTTAGTTAATAACATAGAGGGGGCAACAGAAGTTCCTACCTTGTCCTTTCCTCTATGAATACATTCCAGTTGTCTTTCCTGAGTAGCAAACCAGTATTCCTAAAAGCCAAAAATACTTTTAAGGTGGTATGTTGCGGTGGTATGTTCACAAAATTGTGTAAAAAACTCCCTAAATAATCCTAACTTTGAACCTATTGGGTAAATAAACATTTTTCTATGTATCTCCATAACGTACAAGGCATAATAACTAACCTGAAGAGAAGTATCGCTGTGCTTAAAAGATTCTGTGATAAAGTTTCAAGCCTTGAAATAGTAATACTTTTATACATTTAAAATCAAAACATTATGTTCAAATTAAGAAAACCACAGGCAAAGTATTTTTTAAAGAAGGCATGGAAAAAAAACTCCAAAAGTCTTTCATTTACCCTGGCTATTTCTCTAGAAATATTATTCAAATCAAGAGCAAATACTGCATCTCTGCCTCCAACAAATAAGGTATTGGTTTCTTCATTCACAAGGAGAGTGGAGACATTGGATAATCCTTCCTTCATAAAAGTGTTTATATTTCCAGCTGTAAAACACAGAAGGTAAGTTATTTATCACTGGAATCACAGCGTTATGTAATAAAACTTCCAGATTTCAAACAAATTGTAACAGAGCAAAGGTAAAAGCTTATACACATTTCCAGAACATCTTCTAAAGAATATGAAAGTATTTGAATAAATGCATGGGTATTCAAATAAACAACACTATTATTATTATTATTACCACCGATAAGCCAGAACCTCCTGCTACCACAATTATTGTTCAGGCATTCCTCACTGTCATTCGGATGAGTGCATCCGCAACACTTGAGGTGGAACAGTCCGTAGCATTCTTTCTATGCCTAATAAAAAATAAATTCCCAACACTGTGCTATGTTTCTTTCTGCTTGTGAAATTACTATTTTTTCACTTACTTTGGTATTTTACTGTTTTTCTGGGAATGCAGTTCCCAACAGAGGCGTTTGTTGCTTGTATTAATTGCAAAACAAGATAAAGGACAACAGCAGTGCTACCCATTTTCAGAGATTCAACTAGAAATAAGTCCTTCCTAGTTTTTATTCCTTGTCATTAAATAACTACAGGCAGAAATTTCTTCATGGTTCTTGCAAACGTTCTGTGGAAGCCCTCCAAAACACGTATCTATAGTCTTCAAATCTTTTCTGAAACTTGTCAAAGCCTCTTACATTTTCTGTTCAGATAACTGCTTCCACATGTCCTAAAATTAAAAGCAGTGTAAGTTCGCTGTAGTATTTGGTTACCTTCATTTTTATAAGAGTTGGACAGCCATGCCCTTTTACAAGATTTTGTAGCTATTACCTATATTTATACTAATCAGAATTAGACACTACTCTGATGGCAATTCCAAACTATTACCAGCAAACCAACCTTCGCGCCAAGTCTGTGATTCTTATTTGCAAGCTGCGACATTTTGGATTTTCTGCACGATATCTAAGTATTATTTGACAAAGAGTAAGAGCAAGTGGGAACATTTTGCAGCAGTTAGCTATTTTAAGTATTTAAGAAAAATCGTAGCTAAACCGGCTTTATTTACAGTAATTCACCAGTTTATATATGTTATATAAAAATAATATATATACATATCAACAACCATATGTTATGAAAAAAGAATTTATATTTTATTAAGTTAATTAGAATCAGGTACTCTTATGCCGGGAATTTTGGCAGTCCATCTAAATAAATATGCCCTCCAGCCAACGCTAGAAAATTGAGCAAAATTAAAGCTAGGTAGTTGTAATCTGCAATTACAGAAACCACGAAGCCAGATTCCAAATCTGCTTTCATACAGAAGGGCATCTCTGCTCTTTCTGCGCTTTCATCTGTAGGCAAATGCCAACAGCTGAGGAAACCGTTTGCATTAGCATAAGCCAAGTAAAACATTGTTTGGGTTAGAACACTTTTAAATTAGCAAATCAGGTTGGAACCTTCAGAAAACTGTTAAGTAACTTCCGTTAGCCCCTGTATCGTAACCCAGGGCATGAGCTGCCCACATGCCAAGACGTCTCCTTGGCCGACAGCACCTATCTCCGCGGCCGCGTGGTATTTGAGAACACTTTTTCCACCGTCGTGGTTTACGCTTCCCTGCGCCCAGCTTTGTTCACAGCAGCTGGGACGGCTGGCCCCCGCAATAACGGACCCCAGGA